ACAAACTGAAAAATGAGCTGAGAATATGATTGGTGAATCTGGAGAATAAAAATGGCAAATAAACATTAAAATTTTATTATCAAAGGTGAGGTAAATTGGACAAAGTGTGGATCAATGAGTACTCACATACTGGTATAAAACTTGGTATAAGCAAAGGGATGACTTCTCTTTTACTTCAACCATAACAGAATGGCAAACTGGCAGTACGTTTTCAATTGAGATAGGTGCAAACACTTTGACCTTGAAAAGTCTTTAGAATGTTACAATAAAGAAATGACTTCAGGGCCTCCCCTGGTGGCACAGCGGTTGGGCGCTGGGCTGCGAAGCTGCCCGCAGCCTCTGCAGCGCCGGTTCGATCCCCGGCCACCAGCGAGGGTCCCATATGGCGTGCAGACCTCTCCTGCTGCAACTGCTACTCTCCTCAGGCAGTGTATTTCATCGGTCTGCCTGTTCTGTTCCCCGCTCTGGCTCTGGTGAATTCTCTCACCCTCCCGTGCTTCTAACTGTACCCAGTGCTTGTATAAATAAATACATAAATCTTTAAAAAAAAAATGACTTCATAGCTGAACAAAAATATATGCTCAAGAACATTCATTTATGACTTTTTACAAGTACCCATCAAAAACAAATTAGGTAAATAAATTCTGGAGTAACCAGAATTCCATATAATGGAATATTTTGTGGTCACTAAAAACTTTAGGGGAGATTTGTATGAACAGGTTTAAATTACAGTGATATTAACCCAGGTTCTCTCTCCACCTATCACTGAATCAATGTATTCACTGGCTCAGGAAGAGGACAAATATAGCAGAACATATATTTTTGAAAAATAAATTGGAAGTTAAATCAAGAAGTCTTAGGTTTGCAAGAGTTGGACTTTATGAGAAAGATAACTTTAGCTTGCAAAGTTTGGCCTTATATATTAGAAACCACAGTCCTAAAATATTCAAACAAATAATAGATTTGGAAGAATAGATTTGATTGGTCAGTTGCCACCCCTCCCCTTTTTGATCAGGACAATAGGTTTTTTTCACAAGAAGTAGAGCAATAAACCTGGTGGAAGTTGGTGGTCTCTGAGAAAGAATATAATTATTGCCGTCCATATTGGTCAAGCTTAGAGGTAAGATGAGTGAGGACAAAGGAAATCTGATTTATATTGAGGAGATACCAATGGAGAGGACAACTACGGTTTACTTCCGGATGTACAGCCCACGGACCCTGCAGACCTTTTAAAGAGACTCAATATTAAGTCTGTGTCTTAGTTTCCCACTACTGCAACATAACAAATTACCACAAAAGGGGCCTCCCTGGTGGCGCAAGGGGTTAAACACAGCGCTGTGAAACTATCCGCAGCCACTGCAGCACAAGTTTGATACCTGGCCAGGGAGAAATTCACATGGTGCAGCAGACCTCTCCTGTCTTGCCCACTGCTCCCTCAGCAGCGTATTTCAGTGCATCTGCCTGTTCTGTTCTCCACTCTGTCTCTGGTGAATCCTTTCACCCCCTGCCCCTCTGGCCTGTACCCCAGTTCTTGTATGCATAATTAATTTTTTTTTTAAAAATTACCACAAATATACACAAGTTTTGTGGCTTAAAACAATGCAAATCTATCACCTTACAATTCCAGAAGTCAGAGTCCAAAATTAGTCTCGAAGTGCTAAACAAATGTGGCTAGTTTCTTCTAGAGGCTGTAGGGGAGAACTACTCCATGCCTCTCCTGGTATGTAGTGGTTGCCTTGACTCATGACCCCTTCCTTCATCTTTAAAGCAAGAAGAATTAGATCTTCCAGTCTCATTCTCAGCTTCCAGCACAATATCTCCTTTTCTGTTTTTGCCTACCTGCTGCTTACAAGGGTCTTGTGACTACACTGGACCCACTAAGATATTCCACTTAATCATATCTTCAAAGTCCTTTTTACCATGTAAGGTTACCTATTCACAACTTCTGAGAATGTGAATGTGAACGTGATTGCGAATGATTATTAAGCCTATCACAACATGGTACCCTAGCACTAGAACAGCACTGACTGTGTTGGATGTGCCACCAGTTGCTCCCAGGACAACCTCAGTTTGGCATTGGAAGAACAGCTGAGAGTACACAGATGGTGTTATCAATTAAAAGTGTTGCCTCAGGGCCTCCCCTGGTGGCGCAGCGGTTGAGCACTGGGCTGAAAAGCTGCCCACAGCCTCTGCAGTGCTGGTTCGATCCCCAGCCACCGGCGAGGGTCCCACATGGCGCGACAGACCTCTCCTGTCGCGACCACTGCTCCCCTCAGCAGTGTATTTTGGTCCATCTGCCTGTTCTGCTCCCCACTCTGGCTCTGGTGAATTCACTCACCCTCCCGCACTTCTGACTATACCCAGTGCTTATATAAATAAATATAAAAATCTTTTTTTAAAAAAAAGTGTTGCCTCAACATTCATATGTGAAATCCTACCTCCAAAGGTGATGGTCTGAAGAGGTGGAGCCTTGCGGAAGGTGATAAAGTAATGAAATCAGAATCTTCCTTAATGGGATTAGTGCCTGTATAAGGTCACCTCAGAGAGCTGTCATACCTGTTCTGCTATGTGAGGACATACAGAGAAGATGACAGTCAATGAATTAAGATGCAAGCTCAAACCAGACACTGTTGGTGCTTTGATCTTGGACTCCCTAGACTACAGAACTGTAAGAAATAAATGTCTGTTGTTTAAGTCACCCAGTTTATAGTATGTTGGTTATAGCAGACAGAACCAACCAAGACAGATGGCATGGTGGGCAGATATGGAAAAGTTTTGCATTAGATTGTACATGGATGTACATTAGAATGTACAATCTGACATCCAGATGTCAAGCAATAATTCCAACCTTCTAAGCAAGAATAAAAATTGCCAGTCAAGTGGCAGATAAAAGGCAGTATAAGTCAGAGGAACATCATCAAGGCTCCAACCCTGTCCGCTCTGTTGTCCAGATGACTCATAATCCTCACCCATTAACTGAAAAATCACCCTAGGAGAAGGGCAGAAGAAAGAAAAGAAATTCTAAAATAATGTGACTATGTAAAACCACAAGTAACCAAAAACACTTGTGAGACTGAGCCCATATGAATTGTCCAGACTGACTTTTCTATTAGTTGTAGATTTTAAGAAGTAGTATTTTTAAAAGGTACAATTCCATACATCTTAGTAAAAACTTAGTAAATATAAAAATTCATAACAAAAACATTTACTGATATGAAAAAGGTCTATAACACTATTAGTATATAATAAAGCACACTATAGAAGATGATGTTATTTTCTATTTTACTGTATTGTATTTACATGTGTTTATGCATAAAAATGCCTTAACTATTATATTCCTAATTAAACATGTTTTTTTTCTAGGTGATTGAATTTTATATCAGCAAAACTGTTAATACAATGAGCATGTATTTGAATAATCATCAAAAATAACAAAACCATCTTCATTTTTGAAAAAAAAAAAAACTATGGTAAAGCATCATTTATTTTAGATAGTGAGATGGTAACATCAAATACTTGCCAGCAAAATGAAATTAAATGTCAGTTTTCTAGGGCCTCCCTGGTGGCGCAGGTGGTTGAGTGCAGCACTGTGGAGCTGTTCACAGCCTCTGCAGCGCAGGTTCGATTCCAGGCCGGCGAGAATCCCACATGGTGAAGCAGACCTCTCCTGTCTCTCCCACTGCTCCCCTCAGCAGTATATTTCGTCAGTCTGCTCTGTCTCTGGTGAATCCGCTCACCCTCCCGTGCATCAGGCCTGTACCCTGGTTCTTGTATAAATAAATAAATTTAAAAAAAAATAAGTCAGTTTTCTAGGTTACTAATCATGTGACCTTGGGCAGGTTACCTACTATTTCTGGGCCTCAACTAAAAACTGGGAATAGGATCCTCCCTGGGGGCACAAGGAGTTAAGTCTCAGCACTATCAAGTATCACCAGCCACTGCAGCATGAGTTCGATCCTGGCCAGGGTGCTACTCCACATGGCAAGGCAGATCTCTCCTATCTTAATGGCTGCTTCCCTCAGCCTGTTCTGCTCCCTGCTCTGTCTCTGGTGAATCCTCTCACTCCTTGTACCTCTGGCTTACATCCCCAGTTCTTCTATGCATAAATAAGTAAAAATAAAAACTGGGAATAATAATGCTAGCTCTATTACCTCACTGCAGTACCACGTGGAATGCATTTGGTATACTATTCAATATGTCATCTAATTCTCAAAACAACTCTTGATGTGGCCATTATTATCACTCTTATGCAAAATTAAATATAGAGGATACTGCAGTTCTTTGAAAAACACAATATAAATCTAATCCATTCCTGCAATGTAATCAAGAAGAAATGCTTGTAGTTTTCAATATTGATACAGATGCCTCACACAAGGATCTGATATATATATATATAAGTCAGTTTCCAGTGTGAAGATCAGGCTCCTCCAAGACATTTAGCCATCAGAAGGGAGATCTTTGAGTTCTCTGCCTGAAGATAGGCTTTTGAAAATTGGTTATTTTCAGTGGTTGTTCCAGGCTCTTGATTAGAAATTTGCCTCTGGTCATTGAATTAAAGTATCAATCATAATCTTATGTTTACTAAATTCAGGTATTTGCTATGGCAATTCTGTGTACATTTTTATACACATAAACATACATGTTATATATAGATACTCATACATATTATCATTTTAAATGGTTAGCTATCATTAATTACCTAGCATTCTGGTTAAGACAAAGTTTTTTATAATGTATGGATACAGATGAGGAAACTAGGATCAGGAACATGGGCCAAATATATTACCAAATAAAGTCAAGATATCTTGAATAATTCCTTATATCCTAAATAGGAAAACTAATACAAATTCACACTTCCTAACACTGTTGAGGCTAAAAATATTTTAGAATTAAGAAATTTCTGTTTCAGGAAGGTAATTTAATGCATAACCCTTATGTGATATAGTGATATATATATATAACATATATATAAAACATATATATATATATGACATCGGCACAACAGGTCTGTATGCAAGCACAGTGTTATTGCTGCATAGTAATGAATGAATATTCATACCAAGTAAGAAAAATAATGTCTTTAAACTGACATATCAACTCATGTTTTACTGCCAAATTAATTTGCACTAAACTTAAGAAAAACTTTTCAGTTCCATTAAATTTTATAATGAGAAATGAAGTGTTTCTGTTTTTTCAAGTTGTTTTCAGGTTTTCATTTGCTCTTCATTTTCCTGCTCTTACTGATGTGCTGAGAAGGGCTTACACTTGTAGAAAGAGATAACAGGAAGGCACAGTGTTGACTCTTATCGGAAACTTCATGGTGATAAGAAAGTTCTCTATAGGGAGGGAAGTGTTTCCTTCACAGCGTCAATATGTACTCTCTAGATGAATAAAACATATCCATGTCACTGGATGCAAAGAGTTGAAAGCAGTTTCTTACACTGAAGTTTTTAGAAGACTTTAGTTTGTGTGAAAATCTAATTGATCTCTATTCTCTGGGTTTTTTGTTTTTTTTTTTTTTTTTTTAATGGGAAAGCTTATTTTCTGTTTCAAGTTCTGATGATCTAGTTGCAATTATTTGTAATGCTGATATGCTTAGCCAGGACAGTAAATACTTTCATAATTTGATTATTATGTGAATAAGGTGAGTAAAAGGGACATTTTTCCTGGACTTTGGATAGGAAATTTCCATTAGCAATAGGTCAGATGTAACTGGGGACTTGAGGTTGGAAAAAAGTTTTCAGGAAGTAACTCCGAAATCTTTTTGCTTAAAAGGAATATGTCAAAGTTCACATCAACACTTGGGATATAATAATGGGTAGGCTATTCTTGAAGGATATAATATTCAAAGAAGGTAAAGAAGTAGTCTTGAAGCACTACTCCCCAAATCTTCCAGCTAATCTGTCAACCTAGATCCAACTGCAATTGAAAAATCTTGCTACATTTATCAGATTACAGGGAAGGAATCTCACATCTGCAGGTTAATGAAGAAAAAAAATCAATCTAGCCAATTCATGGTAGACTCAGTCACTCACATGTTTTGTTACTAATGGTTTTTCATAGTGACATCATTTCAGGATTATTTTCCTCTTCTTCCTTCACTGGGGGTGATTTTTCAGTTAATGTGTGAGGATTATGAATCATCCAGACAGCAGAGATACCTAGGTCGGATCGTTGATAATCTCTTCTGTCCTATGCTGTCTTTTATCAACTGTTTGCCAAATAGCTACTATTCTTTCTTCATTTGCTTAAAGGACTGGAACAAGAGTTTTGTAGACCCTTTCAGAAAGCTTGCAGGGAAAGAATTATCATCCTACTAAGAATGGGAAAGCTGAGTCCCAGATAGGTAAGGTAACTTGTAAAAGGATCATGTAAACACAAATGATAGAGCCTGCAGCTTTGTCTAGTTTTAAAAGGAAAAATGGAAAACTTAGAGAAAAAGGAGCAATGTATTTAAAATATTGTCTAACAAGTTCCTAGTGATAGTTATATTTTATTAAATTGCACATACAGATGTGTATTCTGTGGAGATGCTTCTTAAAGAAGTAGAATGTATAGGAATAGTGACTGTGATGAAGAGAAATGAATTAAAGAGCAAGAGGAAGCACAAAAATGATTGAAGTAAAGTAAAACTTCCCCAACTCTCTACACAATTAGCACGAACATTGTCTTTAAGAATCTGAAATAAGAAAAAGTTGTGTAACAGTGTAACCCATTTACTGTGCCAAGAGAGTAGGACATAAAGATCTCCCAACATGAATGACAGTTTTGTTTCTGGAGACTGCACAGAAAGCCAAGCAAAATCTTATACATTAACTAGTTTAAATTACTTTCTTGAGACTGACTTTAGAAGTGACTTTGGTTCATAATCTCTTCTACCAAAATGCACCTTTGTAATACTGGGTTTTATTTACTTTTTCTGGACTTTAAACTCATACCCACACTCATATCTACCTGCCCTCACACAGAAACATATCTCACACAAAATATATATGCAAGAATGATTTTTCAGATCTAATCACAAGTAATACATTTCCAATGGGGATGTCAAGGCACTGTGATAGGTTTGTGGGAATTGGTTTTGAGCTTAAAATCCTTTCATCAGATCCTTTATACCACCTGGTCTTCTTAATCAAATGCTTGACACTATAGAAGACTGCATCAAGTCCTCTGTGCTCTTCAGCAACAGGGTGAACAGAATTAAATTTTGAATGTACATATTTGTTAAGTTGTTTGATTTCCATTTTGATGTCTTCCTAGGGTAAAAAAAAGTCAGGGGAAGTTGAATTAGATGTTGAATCAAGCGTGGAGGCATGGTATTCTATATGTCAAACTCACTAAATGGAACTATCAGCAAGAACTCAGAGGAAGGATACAATCATTGGAATTGAAATACCTAACTTGGTGTAGTACAAACAAATAGTCAAGAAAATAAATTTTTAAACCTAGTCTGAGCATCAGAAATGTGTTTATTTTTAGTCGGATTTTTTAACTCCTTTTCCCTCCTTAAATATGGTATACTTTTGTATGCCAACAGGATGGAATTGTGAGAAAATTATTATAAACACAGTGTTTTCAAAATCTACCATATACTTCCCTAGGCCTAAAATATATGAATACTTCTGGAAAATGAGAAATCACTAGATTAAAATACAATGATCTAAGGGTTACTATTCTAACAAGCTCATTAAAATTGATAAGAAAAATACTGAGATCCCAATATGAAAATGAACAAAGCACATGAACAACCAATACATACCAACAGAGATAATTAGCAAGCAGACATATGGGGAAATGTTTAACCTTGCTAGTTATCAAAGAAATATAAACTAAAATAAAACTGTTAATACCATACCATTTAAATGTGTATAAGAAATTATATATATATATATATACTAGTGAAGTGAATTATTATAAATGATTAAAGGAGAATTAACATCAATTCTTACAAACTCTTCCAAAAAATAGAAGGCAATATTAACCCAGTAGCAACACATCACGAGAAAACTATGATCAATATTTTTATGCATACACATGTAAAAATAAACAATACTAGCAAACCAAATTCTGCAACATATGAAAAAAGATCATATACCTGACCAACTAGGTTCTATCTCAGGAATGCATGGATAGTGTAACAAAAAAAAATCAATTAATGTAATATACCACATTAGTAGAATAAAGGAAAAATCCACATGATTACCTAAATAGCCATAGAAAAGGCATTTGAACAAAACCATCCTTGCATCCCTGAAACAAATCCCAGTTGGTCATGATGTAGAATCCTTTTACTGTAGTGTTAAATTCAATTTATTAAGATTTTGTTGGATAATTTTATATCTGTTTTGATCAGGGATATTGACCTTCTCATGATATTCTTGTCTGCTTTTGGTATCAGAAAACGTATTAGGGAACTTCCCTTGTGGACTTGAGGTTAAATCTCAGCATTTACACCACAACCACCCACAACCACTGCCATGGATTGTGTTAGATCCCTGGCCAGGGGGCTAACCCACATGGCACAGCAGACCTCTCCTGCTTCACCCACTGCTCCCCTTAGCAGTGTATTTCAGTAGATTTGCCTGTTCTGAACCCCGCTCTGTATCCAGTGAATTCTCTCACTCCCCTTCAAGTTTGGCCTACACCCCAGTTCTTCTACACAAAAATAAATAAAATCCTTTTTTAAGAGAACATGTTTTAGGAAGATTCCCTATTCTTCAATTTGTTGGAAAAGTTTCAGAGAAATAGATAATAGCTTGTCTTTGAGTGTTTGGTTGACCTCACTAGTGAAGCCATCTGATCCTGGACTTTCATTTTTAGGAGACTTTTGCTTACTATTTCAATTACCTTGCTTATAATTGGTCTGCTCAAATTTTCTATTTCTTCCTGATTCAGTGCTGGGAAGTTACATGATTCTAAGAATTTTCTATTTCCTCTAGATTTTTCCAATTTTTTTGCATAAAGATGTTCATTGTAATCTATGATCATTTATATTTCTTTGATATCTATTGAAATTTCTCTCTCGTTTCTGATCCATTTATTAAAGTTTTATCTCTCTGTTTTGCTTAATAAGCCTACCTAGAGCTTTATCTATTGTGTTAGCTTTTTCAAGAGCCAGCTTTTGGTTTAATTGGTCTTTTGAACTGTCTATTTTATTTCCATTTTATTTATTTCTGATCTAGTTTTTACTATTTCTTTCCTTCTAGTAGTCTTTTGTTTCACTTGCTCTTTTTCTAGTTCCTCCAGGTATAAGGTTAGATTGTTTATTTGAGATTTTTCCTTGTTTCTTTGTGTAGGCCTGTATTGATATAAACTTTCCCCTCAGAAATATTTTTGCTACATCCCATAGATTCCGGTAGTTCAAGTGTTCATTTTCTTTTGTCTCCAGGTACTTTTAAAATTCTCCTTTGATTTCCTCATTAATCCAGTAGTCATTAGTAGCAAATTGTTTCATCTCCACATACTTGATTTTTCCTGTTTTAAAAGAAATACTTAGTATTGGCAAGACTATGATAAAACTTGTACAACTACATTTGCTGCAGCTTAGAAGTCAGTATAATCTTTATTGAAAGCAAATTTGTCTATATATTTCAAGAGCCATAAAATCATCCCATCAAATAATCCTATCTCTGGAAATTTAAATCATGCTCAATGTTTGAAGATATTTGCTCTACACAATTCCAGAAAACTGAAAATATGTCATGTTTTACAAAAATGAGAATAGGAAGTTAAATAATAGCATGTCAATTTTGTGAAATATTTTTTAAAATTAGAAACCTTAAGTAAAAATTTTATGTATAATTATATCTTTGAAATTATATGCACATACAGACAAGGAAAGATGAAGAAAATGGACATAGGAAAGAAGTAATTTATTACCATGTTATAATCACTGGGATCCCACTCCTGCATTTCTTGTATTTATTTTGTGAGCAATACTGTTCCATCACAGTTTTCTTTGCTATTATGATACTATTATATCTTAAACATTTGAAGGAGGATTTCTGAGTATTCTTTTGGTTATGTTTGGCACATCCAGAAAATGTATGGGTACTCAGGATGTCTAGAAGATGATTCTCACCAGAAGAAATCATCAGGTTGTCATAATAATATGGAAAGACCAAGCTGAGTTTAGAAAGGAGGCAAAAAAAACTACATTCCCTACAGACTGTCCCTTGAAGGAATAACCAGGCTCAAGGGTAGGGGAAAGAGAGATATTATCCTCCCCACTAACAAAGGCTAAGACTACAGGTTTTGTTCACCCTGAAAAGGAAATTTATAATTACAGAAATGGTGACTTAGAGGAAAGGTCATTACATGACTCAGAAATTGGAACACACCACCAGACCTTTAAATTTTCTTTCATAAAAAAATTTTTACAATTAAAAATTAAAATTTTTAAAAATTAAAAGTATATATGTATTTGTACTTATAGACACACATGTATATACACTAATATATTAGAAAGTACACAAATTTATTAACTCTACAACTGGGTGCATATTTATGTAAGTATAAATTATATTTGCCACTACCTCGATGGAGACAGAACTTTCTTGGCAGCACCAGCCTGCTCCTGGTGCCCACTCATAGTAGGTACTTCTGCATAACGCTACTATTATCTGAACCTGTGATACATATGATTTGCTGCTTCTGAACTTGATAAATATGGAATTTTTTTCAGCATGTACTCTTTTTTGTCTCCCTTCTCTTGCTCAACATTATATCTGGGAGATTCATCAAAGATGTCCATATAGCTAGAATTCGTTCTCTTTCATTGCTATGGTATTTTGTTACAAAATTTATGATTCCTGTAATCTGCCTCCTGCAGAACAAAGATTAGTGAATTTCCTTTTATTTAAATTTCACTGTGAGGTTAAACAAACGCATGATTAAATAAACTATTTTAAGAAGACAAAGTTTGAAATTAAAAAAAAAAAAAACCTCCCCTGAGAATATTTCATCTTGGTAGGAGGTCAGATGCCAGTTACAGAGCTGCAGCTTCTGAATAAATAAAATTGGCAGATGTTTGGGAAAATCTGTACTGTTGTATGGTATCCTGTCAAGGGTGAGAATGGAGAGGGATTGACCAGCTGATGAAAATAGTAAACAAGGAAAATAAGTAAGCCCTGAGGTCTTACAGAAAACACACAGAAATCACAAAACCCTTTGGACTAGTGAGCTTGAGACACATGCAGTGGGATTCCTGTAGTCTTTTCTGTCCTACCTTAAAGCCATCGTGCCTGTGCCAGGCAGATCAGGTTAGGTTCCCTAGGGAGTGAGGAGGAAGAGGTTTCATCCCACTCTTGGCTGCCGGCAAACTGCCACTGCTGCAAACCACAGAATTCCAGAATACTGTAGGCTGTTTTGGTCAAAAAAGTTGAATAGATTTCTAAGAGCTTTAAATTATATTTCAGAGTCTGCTCTGGAAGGACATCTGATTTTAGAACATATAAATAATAATAACATAAGTAGTAATAACTTCAGGAGTATAAATCTATTCTTATCTAATGGGGAGTTCTGGGGCAGAGATTTTCTGCATCTACAGCTGGTGACCTCAGTGGTTTCTCACTCCTTCTTCAATTGCCTTCTCCCCCTTAGTCCTTGGTATACTGAATCTTGATTTCCTAGAAAGGTAAGGTAATTGCTAATTTGCAAATCTTTAGAAGCTGACAGGTAACCTTGCTGGCTGTTTGCCAATCCAGCTTTCTATCGACAAAAAAAAAGTCTTTGCCATAACTAAACATAGTAAAATGTACAGAACATATTATGAATAAACAGTTTTACTTTCTCCCTAATTAGGGGAAAACAGAATTATATTCCAGCATAAATTAAGGGTCTGTCACAAAGATCTGCGTGACCTTGGGGAAATTACTTCTTGGAGTTTGAGTTTCCTCAACAGTAAAACTAAGAGCTTGAATTAAGAGATCTCTAAAGTGCACTGAAAATGCTAATATTTTTTTAATTCAAGTCATGTAGAAAACCTGAAAAAAAATCCCACTTTGATATTATGCTTAACCCTCACATTAGTATTGACTCCAGGAATCAAACATTTTAGAATGACTTAAAATTATATTGTTCTTGAGTCTGGGTGCTTCAGTTGGAGATCACAATGTACTCTACTAAGGCAGCAGGTAAGCACGAGGAGGTAAAATAACAATTACTTATTGAAAAAGAGTGATGAGCCCCTGACCAAACCATGGTCTTTTTGGTTGAGATAGACAAAGTGCCAAATGTCAGATAACATGAGATTAAT